GAAACTACCCACCTTGTAACTACCCATCTGTAAAGGGCTTCTATTTGGGGAGCCGGGAAGGGCAGGCATTTCTTCATCTTTACCCCTCGCGGGAGGACAGGATGCCTGCAGCCCCACATCCCGAGCTGGGACGGTTTAGGGTTTAGGGTTTAGGGGTGTGTGTGTGTGTGATTCAAGAAGAGTTCTCAGCTTTTTCACTATTACCCAACCCCGTCATCGGCATAAGCCTTCAACACCCCAGACCCCGCTCTATAGGGCCCACGCCTAGAGCCGATCTGTTGGCCAACTTTCTCTTACAAGCAGTCGCTCGGTTGTTGTTGGCTGATGAGGTGATCTTTTTAAAGCCTTTGGCTTTACATATGGGTAGTTCTCTAAAATAGGGCCCCTTTTAGGTCCCCAACATAGTACGGCACCCTCATAAAAAGGACCCCAAAAGGGACCCTAATTTAGAAAACTACCCATATGGATGCCAGAGAAATTAGAATAGTGGCCTGGGGGATCCGACACATACCAGAGCAAATTTAGGGGTTTAGGGTTTAGGGTTTAGGGTTTAGGGTTTAGGGTTTAGGGTTTAGGGTTTAGGCTCTCGGGGATTTGCAGGTCAGGCTTTCGGGGCCGGGAACTTCAGCAACGAAGCCATGGTGACCGTAGTGTCTCAAGCTGCAGCCTCATAGGGTTTAGGGTTTAGGGTTTCGGGTTTAGGGGTTTAGGGTTTAGGGTTTAGGGTTTAGGGTTTAGGGTTTAGGGTTTAGGGCAGCTTCATGATACCATCATATGGGCCAAAAAAACTGCTCTGTAGACAAGGCCCCTACAGTCTTCCCTAAGGCTTGCGTTAGGGCTCGGGATTCTGGCGACAAAGCAGCTGATGGAAACGTCCCGTGACAGTTGAGGCTCAAAGTGTAGAGCTTTATGACCCTAAACCCCTAAACCCTAAACCCCTAAACCCTATACCCTAAACCCTAAACCCTCAACCCTAAACCCTAAACCCTAAACCCTAAACCGTGCCAGTTGACGGGGCATGCTGCTCTGCCGGTGCGGCGTTGGATTCCTTGCTGGCGTCCTCAGCATGAGGGGTATCCGAGACATCGGCACTGTGACGCGTGCAAGCTCGAAGATGGAGCAGCTGACCGCAGCAAAGGCACTAATTCAGAAGCTGGAGAAGCAGGCGGTGATTTCAGATTATGAACGGGAGAAGCTCGAGGCAATGGACGAAGAGGTGTTGATGAAGCACACGGACCAACCGGATGAGCAGAGAGTCTTATACGACTTGCAGTACCGAGCAGAAAATTTGTGCAACAAACGTTTTGTCGAGCACACGCGAAATTCGCCCATGCTTGATTACGAGCACGGACACAAGCCGCACCGAAGTGCCCTGCCTGTAGGATTTGGGGATGGTGGGTTTAGGAATGAGGGCTTGAGGGTTTGAGGATTGAGGGTTTAGGGTTTGGGGGCAGCATAACCCCTAAACCCTAAACCCCAAACCCTAAACCCTAAACTATTTTTTCGGGCTCTGTTTTCGGGTGACGGGAGGGAGCGGCCTATAACAGTGGGACGAAGTTTAATTCTACAACACAACTATGAGGACCTATCATGTTCCGATTAAGGACTTTTCGATGCTGGTGGGACAGTACCCGAGCTATACTTATACCCTAGACACCCAAACAATGTTCCTCACCCCGAACCCTCAAATCTCAAGCCTTAACCCCAATATCCTAATGAGCAAACCCTCAACCCCAAACCCTAATCTCTCCCCCTAAACCCTAAACCCTCAAGCCTACAGCCTTAAGCCTAAACATCTAAAGCCTAAACCCTAAACCCTAAGCCCCAATGCTTGAAACCTAAACCCTAAACCCGAACGCTTAAACCCTAAACTATACCGTAAACCCTGAACCCTAAACCCTAAACCCTAAACTCCTCAAGCCGAGGCGTCTTGGCCGCAGACGCCCTGCACTCCCAGGTGCTGCAGCAGCAGGCCGGCCCTGCCACGGTGGGCCCGCAGGCTGTGAATATGTGAGGGTTTGGGGTTTCGGGTTTCGGGTTTCGGGGGTTGGGTGTGGGGTTTAGGGTTTAGGGTTTCGGGTCTAGGGCTTAGGTTTTAGGGTTTAGGGTTTAGGTTTCGTTTCAGGGTTTAGGGTTTAGGGTTTAGGGTTTAGGGTTTAGGGTTTAGGGTTTAGGGTTTAGGGTGCGGTTTGGGGTTTAGGGATCAGATGCCTATGACTACAGGAAGACATTGGGCTTTACATCCCTGAAGTAAGGCTTTCACGCAGCAAACCTGGACTTTCTCCTTGGGCCTCGGAGATCCGAATCCCTCAACCCAAGCTTCTGAACGTCGGTGCTGCTCGCAAACGAGAGGCACCTCTCTGAGCTGCCAACAACCTCAAACCCAAAGGATTGAAAATAAACCCTATTTCTTTCCCCAACACTCAAAACCCACTGAAAATCGTTCCCCCAATCCCAAAACCTACTAAACCTCAATCCGCAAATCCTAAGCTTGTAACTCCGAAACCCTCCAACCCTCAATACTTAAAGAGTTCTGAACGCATCGCCTGCAAGGCTGCTCCGGAGTGGGCCTCGTCCCTGGAGACTCAACCAGGGGATCTTTCCGTGCTGGTGTTGCCCCCGGTGCTTTGCAAAAGCAGGCTGCCGGGGAAGAGGGACTAGGGTTTAGACCTTGGGGTTCGGGCTGGAGGCTTCACTTACTGGTTGTTAGTAGGGAATAAGGGATTGTATAGGGATTATATTCCCTTATTCCCTGCTAACAACCATGAAGGCAAGAGTAGGCTGAGGGATTTCATCGCTGGCTTTGGCTCATGCCCGTCGCAGGACCAAATTTTCGACTTAGTTTTGGGCTCAGTTCTGCGATCCTGTTTAAAGAGTCGCCGTTTCAAGCCTTGTCCCTTGTGCCCTTGATGGTTTCGGGTTTTGGTGCTCCATTTGGGAGTTTCCAAAAACAGAGGACCCCTAATATGGACCCTAAAAAATAGGACCCTACATATAAGGAACCCCTACCACGGACCCCCCCATTTTCGGAAACTTCCATTTTCGTTACGGGTCAAGAAGGTGTAGAGCTCCAGATGTCGCCCTCCTGGAGTTTAGTCTGAAGCTCCACATGAGCTTGCAAGACGGAAATTTGCAACAAAACATCCTGGAGTCCTAGCTTTAGGGCTTATGGGCTTAAGGGTTTAGGGTTAAGGTTTTAGGAGTCCAACCGGTCTCCCATATGGCAGTCCAAAGGAAGTTTCCACAAATCAGTGGCTCTTCAACTCTAAGGGGTCCTTAGATCTGATCCTTACTATATGGAGTTCCTTCTTTTGGAACTCCACTTTAGGTCAAGTTTGTAGTTCATAGAAATGAGTTCAAAGAAGTGTTTAGCTTAATGCCTGGAGGGTGCAACGTGCCCAAACATGAAGTGCGTTGGGTTTCCATATTAGAAAGGTCGTTTTGACTTATGCTTTACCGTCAGGACAGCATGTACTTCAAAATTAGAACCACATATCACACCTGTGGTCCTAAGATGGAATGTGGACCATGAACCCTTTGAGGTTTCATTTAGTCCTTAAGGTGTGTTTGGGTACTTTCTGGTTCGCCTGTTTTTTTATTAGGCCTCAGGCGATGTCTCGTTGCTGCTCGTGGCACCAAGGTCATCGCCAGCGCTGGGCGCCAGGACACGCGAGATTGTCGCGATACTAGGCAAAGTAAATAGAAGTCACATGAGTTTGCGTTTAGTTACAATTATGATCTTTGGCATGTATCCAGCTGGTATTACTTCCGGAGTGTAAAAGTGAGACAAGTTGGCCAGGAGATGGGACATCAAGGTTCTTCTCGTGCATCTCTCGAAGCTGATAGTGGGAGCAGCGGGCAAATACGCAGTTACATGTGCCAAGCGGGTTCCAGCCATGTAGCCGCACCTCGGCTTGTTGTTTGCCTCTTGCTCATTAAGATCTACTCACCTAGCTCGTAGTGCACAGGACCGTAAGCATGCTAAGGCCAAAGGGTTGCACGGACCCCTTGAATCCGTTGTTTTGCTCGACTTTAACCCTAAGGGTCCAAGTACCCACATATATAGTAATAGTGTTTACCCCAAAAATGAGTACAATTCCTGATATAGAAACCCTAAACACTTCATGTATCGGTAGTTTGGACCCTTAGGGTAACTGCAAAATGCTTGTCACTTTGAGTTCCTCCGCCTCTTGGAGCGACCGCACGAACACTGCTTTGACGATCGGCTTCCTTACTAGGTTGAAATGGGTGTTTTATTATCATGATTATGTTTTGTTTTTTATTTGGCGCTAGCTTTTGACTCTCGCTTTTAAAGCCTACAACTTGCCTCAGTACCTCAGACCTCAACTCTCAACCCTCAGCCTAAATCCAAAGCCCTAAGTCACAAGACTGGATATGCATAGGAGACCAGGCCCCTCCACGCCTGCAAGCTAGATCCCGAGCCATCATGCTCAAACCCTGGTCACTACACCCTTAAAGCTTCGAGCAAAAAATACTTGCAGGCTTTGACCATTATCCTGTTTAAGGGTACCTAGTACGATGATTATTGGGTTTAAAGATTTTAACTACAAGCTACAAAATTACACCAAACAAGGGTAATGGTAAAAACCTATAGAAAAGTCAGCCCACATCTTGAAACCCACATCCTGAAGTGGTTTGTCAGGAGCTTCTGGAATCCCCCTAAACCCTAAACCCTAAACCCTAAACCCTAAACCCTAAACCCTAAACCCTAAACCCTAAACCCTAAACCCTAAACCCTAAACCCTAAACCCGTTGCCAGGCCGGGCCTCGTCGCGAAGCAGGGTTTAGGGGTTTAGGGTTTAGGGTTTAGGGTTTAGGGTTTAGGGTTTAGGGTTTAGGGTTTAGGGTTTAGGGCTCTGTAGATTCCACGGGGCTCCTAAGCGATATCGATATTGGAAGCTGCAGCCCAGTCCCAAAGGCACCATGTAGTGATATAGTAGCTACCTGGGTCTTGAAATAGTTTCTATGTATTCACTTTGGGGTCTATGTAAGTACTATACCACCACATGGAACCTTTGGGAGTGCTGCGAAAAATGGAAACGGTTTCACCTTATAGGAATGCCATTGTGCGACCTTTGACTGACGCTCTGAAGCAGAGTGCTTTCTTGGTTGAAGCTACTTGGAGGGGCAAGGGACTTTGTAAGCTGGTGATAGCCAGGGTGGAAAGTCCCTTAAGCTGGGGCTGGATGAAAACCTATTTATGGCCTGACCTTCAACCACTTACTAAGTGCCCTGCCTCTTAAATGTAGTTCGCGTTCTAACCCCACCCAGTGACAGTCCCTTCAGAATCTGTAGACGGGCCTGGTAGGGCCCTAGAACCCCTATACAAAAAAACTACCCTTGGGGACTGTTACTGCGGCAACTCAACCCATTGTGGTCGCTGAGGGGGTAAGCCTAGCAGGCTCAAGATTTGCCATTGAAGGTTTGCGCCCCGGGCCTCCAACCTTTGAAAGCAAGCTTCTGGAGACTTCGAACAATGAAATCAGAGGAGACGTAATCGAGATTTGCGATTGTGGGGTTGCTCAAGATTAGTGCTGAAGCGTCCAGGGCTAAATCCGTTTCCGTCCATGTTTCTTCTGGGCCTTTGTCAGCCAAGCGGGCCAGGCTTGGCATTAGGACCCTGCACGCCCAGAGGCACAGCACACATCTTCCGGTCCAGACGCATTCATTTGAATGCCAACCGTGCAGATCCTTGCAGGCTGATGTTTGACCCTCTGCCTGCGAGATGTTGTAGCAGTTTTCCATTGCTTGAAGGTGTCTCTAGATTTTAGTTCTCAACCTGAGAGGGGCAGTTGTTGCCTCACGCTGGAGAAACGCTACACATGGGCCTTAGATTTGATGCAAATCCCAATCCTTATGTAGGTAGTGCAGAGCTCTCAATTTGCAGCCGCGCGTGGGAACCATTGTTCCGCAAGACTGTCCACAATACGACAAGTAAAAGTCTTGTACTCTAGGATTGGGCTGTTGCTAAGAGCTTTAGATTGTGCTAGCGTGAGAAGGAGATTATAGAGACTATGTTAGACAGTTAGACATGTATGTAGAAATATATGTACGTACATACATAGCGCGAACACCTAGTTTAAGTTCTATACTAGCACCCTTATGCCGTTTTTATCTGACTATGACCCTGAGGCTTCGACTTCAAGACCTTATAACAGCAATGCATTGGATACTGCCCCCACTCATTAACAGTTGGATAATATTTGCAATCCCATTATACAGAGTCCTTACTCTTAGCCCTAATATAGACTGTTAATGGGTGGGGGCAGTACCCAACTTACAACAGCAATGCGGACGATGCCTCGGCTTCGCCGGCCCGCCGCCGCAGGCTATCGCCGGGAGCAGGTGTTGGTGGGCAGGGAGCTCGGAAGATTCTGACTCTACCTGTAGGCTTATACCATAGCCCTTTTATTGGTTACCCTACAACCATAAAACTAGGTAGCCTAAGAAAGGGCTATGGTAAAAGCCTACAGGTAAGAAGTTGCGATACCTTTTCCGCGTGTCCCTAAGGTCCAGGGGTCCTAAGCGCTTGGTTTGGGTACCCTGGTTTTCTGCTACAGAATCGAAGGCTAGGTGTTAGAGAAGATAATTACTGGAAGCGTGCATAAAACCGTAGGTTCTGAGCTGACATGTCGGGCTTGCTCTCGAAAACCAAAAGAAACCCGTTGCTCTCGAGGATGGCCCCGATCCGCGTGCTCAGTGGGTGCAGAGCTCAGCGAGCACTATTTTGGACGCAATTGGACCTTCAAGCGGACTCTAAGTCATGGAATCCTGTACATGAAGACCAGAACAAGCCTTTGAAGCACCCTTCGCTCGACATGGTGAATTTTTATGCCGCAGCAAGGTAGTCGAAGAACAGAGAAGCTCAATGTTCTACACCTCTTTTTCCTCTGCCGTTTGCTTGCTCCATCGCAGTTTCCTGCGACCAGGGTGCTCCCCCCCATAGGCCCTACACCCGCAGAAGCCTGAAGCTTCAGAGCCAGGGGGCTTAACTTTTCGAGGTTTGAGGTTATATATATATATATATGTAGCTATAGTCGCGGATGCTTTTTGTGGTAGGAGGGCCAGGCTTCGACACCTTGGAGTCTTGGAGGACGTTCCGGCCATGCACAGACTTCCGTGCCTTCTGTGCCTCGCGTGGTTTCTTGGCGTCCTGGGCAGCTGCCCTGATAACTATGGTTCACAGTATTTGAATATTGACGACCTATGTTCTAGCTGCGGGCCCAATTATACCAACCCAGGCGGCTATGGCCACTGCAGGCGCTGCCCTACAAACCATTTTACTCCGATGGACACTCGCCGGCGCACTGCTTGCTATACCGGCGATGGCAGACGGAGGAGGTACAACTCCGCTTACGTCGCCTGTAGCCATGCTCCAGTGATTCCAGGTTGTACGGCATGCCCTGCAGGCCAGACGTACAATGGAGCGGACTGCGTTCCATGTCCCGCGGGGGAGAC